TCTACCATATGATACTACTTGTACAAATGTATTTGTGTGCTGGGAATTTAACCCTGGGCCTAACATATCCAAGGCAAGTGATGTACCACTGAACTACATCCCCAGTACAAAAATTTACTTTTAAAGTGCACACTGAAACACTTTATTTTGTTTATGAAAGTGTTGAACATGAAGTAAAATTATAAAAACAGGACTGGATGCACTCCTAACATATGATTTCATGTAAGAAAATGAAGAGCAAATTTACTCATTTTTTAAATGAAAATTTTAATATTATTATTTAGAATGCTATCTATGGCTTTGTATTTCTCAATATTAATTTTTGAAAAATAATCACATTTTAAAAAATATAATGAGCCCAGGAGACGGAGAAAGGTAAAAGACTTCATAAAACCCACTGAGAAGTGTCAAGAGCTCTAGAAGAATTCCTGTTCCTCTGAGCTGCTGCCTCTTACCTATGAGGTTCTTGAGCCCTGCTGCCTTCCCATACCTGCGGTTTCTTGGCAACATTTCCAATATGGACAAACAGTACTTTGTGTTTATTAGCACTATCTAGATAGGATGGTATCTTTTTTTCAAATAATTTTTAGTTATAGGTGGACACAATATTTTTATGTGGTGCTGAGGATCAAACCCAGTGCCTCATGCGTGCTAGGCATGCGCTCTACCTCTGAGCCTCAACCCCAGCCCTAGGATGGCATCTTTTAAAAGAATTTTACAGATTAAGAAGATGACTTAAAGAAACACCAATCACAATATCAAGAAAATAGAATTAGTTTTAGATTTTAAAATTCAGACAAAACTAATTGAAATATTCGTCTAACACGGGAAGGAAAAATGGAAGAGTATCAACTCTCTTTTACCGCCCCACAATGTCTAATTCAATATAAAGCCTCCTCTATTCTTTGAGATACAATGTTATCTGATCTGATGTTCAAACTCTGTTTCTACAGCTTGTGTAGGGAAATGTACTGAATTGTGTGCTTAGTCCTTAGTCCTTTTTTCTCGGAATTGTGATTTCTATAACCATGGCTAACCCTCCAGGAAACCAGGCCTCTCCCCAGGAAAATATGAAGGAGTTGAGTGCCTCATGAGCTGGGTGGGGCAGGGGGAGGAGAAAACCTGAAGGGGAGAAGCAGGATGGGAGCCCACCAGGATTTTAGGGCAAGCACTGCCAGCCCAGGCTGACTGTAAGGGGTGCAAAAAAAATAACTTATTTTTTACACTTGCCTAGGCATTTCTCTGGTGTTCAATCTTCACATTTGGGGAAATGAAACTCAGCCCTTATTGATTCTCATTACTGGGTGCATCAACTGTGGCTATTGCAGGGAAACAGCAAATGTTGAGAAAGATATTCCAAGTAGCAAGGGTTTCTGAAGAGTGGACCAGGGTAAAGAGCCCACTTGCCAAGTTGAAAGGGCAATTCTCTCTAGCCCTCTCTTCTGCAGGGTCCACAAGAAAACTTCCTGGAAGCTATTTTGTGCAATGGGACTCTGTCTGAGTGGTCATTATGATTTGATTTAGGTGGCCAATCAGAATTTTTTCACATATATATGTAAAAGATAATTAGCAAGTGAAATGGAGAAGGATGACCGTCTATTTCCATGTGAAACAGAAAAGAGGAAATGATATGCTGTAAAAAAAAAACTGAGAAAATGTACAAAAAGGAACATTAATGAGAGGCAGCTGAAGGTCAAATATTTTCCAGTCTTCATACCTCTGCTTTCCAGAAGTCTTTGTTCAAAATTTTAGATGCTAGATCTCTTCTAGCCACCTGCCTTAGCCACAGTCAGAGTGCAAGATCCATGGAACAGCCTAGTAGACCAGGAGTCTGTAAACCTTTTCTGTAAGTGGCCAGAAAGTCAATATTTTACTTTTGTAAGACAAATAGGGCCTTTTACTCCCTCACCCCTCCTTCTCCTCCTTATAAAAATATGAAAACCATTCTGCTCCAGACAGTGCAAAATAGGTTAGTGGCTAGATGTCCGTAGACTGTTGTTTGCCTATGCTGGGTCTAAAGTGGTTCCCAATTCTGGCTGCTTATTACAACTACAAGGGAATTTTAAAAAAAGAAAAAGAAAGAAAGAAAGGAAGGAAGGAAGGAAGGAAGGAAGGGAGGGAGGGAGGGAGGGAGGGAGAGAGGGAAAATCTAGTAGTGACCAGGTCCCATCCCCAGAAATTCATTGAATTGTCCATTAAATGTTCATCCAATTGATTTAATAGGATTCATGTATTGCTATTTGTTTATGTCAGCTTTTTCATTGCTGTGACCAAAGTACCCAATGAGAACAACTTAGAGGAGGAAAAGTTTATTTGGGGCTCACAGCATCAGAGGTTGCAGTCCATAGGTGGCCAATTCCATTGCTCTGGGACCAAGATAAGGCAGCACATCACAGGGAAAGAGCTCAGCAGAGGAAAGCTTATGGTGGAATCAGGAGAGAGAGAGAGAGAAAGAGAGAGAGGGAGAGAGAGAGAGAGAGAGAGAGAGAGAGAGAGAGAGAGAGGAGTCACATGAAGAATATCCCTCCCAGGTTATACCCTGAGTGACCAACCTCCTCTAGCCACACCCCACCTGCCTACAGTTTCCACCCTGTCAGTCCATTCAAACTAGGATGGACTGATTAGGTTACAGTTCTTACTATCTAATTGCTTTGCCTCTAAACATTGCTTCATTAATACAGGAGCTTTGGCGGGACATCTCATATTCAATCCATAATGTTATTTTTCTAAAATCTCCCGGGTGAATATAAAGTGAAGCCAGAGTTAAGAAGTGCTGGAACATTTGCTGAAATCATTTTTGGGCTTTGCCTACTTTGAGATCATCTCAAAGGACTGGTGATTTAAGTGAATCTAGGGACACAGCTAAATGAAATTCTGTGTAGCCAATCATCTTTTCTCTTCTACAATATATAAATCTATGTAGGAAATAAGCAAATCTAAAGAGTTCCATCTTAGTTTACTTCGCATTTTAGAACTAACACCTTCTCAGAGTTTGGGCATAATAGATTGTTCAAAAGTTAGTTTTGTTTTTGCCCCCTCCTTGATAAGAGACCCAAAGTGACAACGGTTGTTGGTGGGGATGGGAGGCTGGGAAAGATTAGATATTGTTGGCTGTAAATCTCTAAGAGATGGTACTTGTGTTTTATTTTTTTAAATATTTGTTTTTTAGTTGTAGTTGGATACAATACCTTCATTCTATTTATTTATTTTTATGTGGTGCTGAGGATTGAACCCAAGGCCTCGCATGCGCTAGGCGAGCGCTCTACCACTGAGCCACAACCCCAGCCCCTTATGTTTTATTTTTAATCTATTGTTGGCACATATTTGCAGTATTTTTATTGTCACAGAAAAAAAAATGCAATGTAGACCTCAAAATTTATTTCACTAATTTTAACTAACATTTCATGTTCCCTAACATTTATGAAAGCCCCAAAACTTGAGCAGCACATATGTATCCAAGCCATGAAGTGTTTTTAATGTATAAACAATAGTGTGAGCACTGGATGTGGTGGCACATGCCTATAATCCCAGCAGCATGGGAGGCTGAGGCAGGAGGATCACAGGTTCAAAGCCAACCTTAACTTAGTCAGGTTATAAGCAATTCAGTGAGACCCTGTCTCAAAATAAAATGTAAAAAGGGCTGGGAATGTGACTCAATGGTAAAGCTCTGCTGGGTTCAATCTCCAGTACAAAAAAACAAAAACAAATAATAGTGTGAGCAATTAGGTGTTTGATACTGGGAAGTTCAATTTTTTAGTAGGTTTATTTTCTTCAAGAATCTCTAGAAAGTTCCAGGTAATGCTGATATGGGACATAAATCCATTCTGATTACTGCTCAGACCAACACATATCATCTGAATATCTTTTCTTATAAATGATTCTTCTTTTCCTACACTGGTTAACATGAGCACAAAACCTTCCCTCCACTCCCTCATAGACTTTACTGGGAGACTATAAAATATATATAGTCAAGACAGTTTAAAGCTGAATACTACTAAAATCCACTGTGTTAGAGGACTTGGGTCCCTCCGTGGGTTTCCCTACTGGGTACCCAGCTTCTTTGGTGCTATGTTGCCCTGGCCTGATAATCTCTTCACAATGGGGGGCCCTCCTTGTACATCCATCATCCAAGAAATCCAGGTTCCTGAAACCTGAAACATCTTACTCCATTCTTTGTTCCTAAACCACAATTATACACATGGCCTAAAGGAAAGTGAGCTCACTTAACACATCTATTAAAGTAACTGTGTGGTTGGAAAGAATCATTCTATACCAAAAGTAATTCTTACACTTTTAACTACTTCTGTAGGTGATTTTTCCAATCTGCATGGTCTTGGCTGCTACTAAAACACTGATCACTCTACAAAACATTTCTAACATACTTGGCTCCCTAGTCCGGTACCTTACTTTGGAGGTTGTTGAGGAACTGAAGGTCTCTTTGTGTATGTGCCTAAGACCTTAATTCTTAATCTGAACAAATTTCTAAAACCAATCCTTCAGTTTCCAAATTCAGATTCAATTTTCAAACCCAATTTTCCGTGATATTTTGGTATTTAGGTAAGCCTAGAAGGGTTTTTATATTCCAGTGCCTTTTTATCTTGATCTATGCTTACTTTTTGCCTAGTCCAAAAGATACTACTGATACCTTATATTTAAAATATTGCCCAATTAAATGTAAAAACAAATAGAAAATATCAAAGAAACCCTCAGTCACCAATGTTAAAATCTATGTGCAAATCATCACCTCTCTCTGAGGGATCAGAACCACCTCCTAATAAGCATAGACAATGATTTCAAAGGAATATATGAAATCATGAGCAGTTTGAAGGGATGGAGGATTTTTTGCTCTCAAGTCCCAAAGACACAGGGGCAAGGGAAGTGGTAGAGGCCCCCAGGAGGCTTCATAGGTGGCCTGGGACCTAAGACCAAAATAGTTCTTCTTTGAATCCTGGCAGGCAGTGATTTGAAAGGGTATAAAAACACCTTCACACTCATCAGAATGCAGCAAGAGTGGTTTTATTGCTGTGAATGTAGTTTTATAAAGTTTGGCAAAAGTCCCAAGGTTAAAAATCTGTAGGCCTGGATGCTTCTTTGCCCTCTTCCCTATTTGCCTTCTCTCAAAACAGACAGAACTCCAAAGCAGAAAAAAATCCTATTTCTTTTTGTCCCAACTCTAGTCTGGTATCCTAGATACTCAAATTCTTCCAACACTTTCCTTCTCTTCCATGAATACAAGAAAATCAACAAAAGAATAGAAAAAGCAGAAGAAACTTTAAGAGAATCTGTGTCCAATGAGAGGAAAGTGAGCAAAACCTTAGATGAGCTTATCCAAGTGTACGGGAACCAACTGATAGGGAGGGTCACTCTTCTGAGGGGGGTCACAGGCAACAACGAAGAATCTGTATTGGGCAGTATCCCTGTAACGACAGTGAGGATACTTCCCTGCAGTGAGTTTGCATTTGGTCATGTTAACAGGCTTTGCACTCTGGTGGCAATTGTTCTGGCCATTCTTGCAGATGATGTGGGGCATATTGCAGGCAACAGCTACATTCTGAAAAGAGTCATGCAGGAAGGTGTTTTCAGGCTTACAGTGCTGAGTATAATTGTTGACACCACCCATTGCCCTGTTGCATTGGAGAGGACCTGGCTGTATGTGCTGGATTTCAAACCAATGAGCCTTGGTGAGCCTCTCAGGCAAAGCACAAAGTGGGCACACTGTGCTCCATAGTCCCAGCAGCATTAGGAGGAGAGGAAAGCATCCCAGATTTAGTATCATCGTTCCTGTGTAAGAAGAGTGAAGATCATGGTAATAGAAGAAGCAATAAGAGCATAGTTATCAATAACTATTAATCATTCTTATTTAGATTTTTGTTTTGCCTTTTAAAATTTCATAGCTTTAAAAAAAAAAAAATCTTTCGCATAGGGTCTCACAATTCTATGAAGACTCTGAAGCCCAGAGAGGTGAGCAGCCCTTTCTTAGATTGGCTTTTCTCACTCTTCTCTATGACTTGCATTTATGCATTCAACAACTCGCATGTCAGACATCTGATTTTTTACATCTGCCCTTCTGAGATGTTTACCCTTCATCTATAGCTACTTCCTCCCAGCTATGTTCACAGCCCTGTTCACCTCAGCCCTGAGTTTCCTCCTCTTACCAGGTGTTCGAGCTGAAGTTCCTGCTGAGAACAGAGGCAGTGGTTAATCTCAGGCTCACAGGGTCTTGTCTGCTTCTCTTCTCTCAAGCCTGCCAGAGCTGCATATGTGAGGCAGAAGAAGAAATGGTCTGACCCACAGGAAAGAGAAACCTAAAACTCCTGCTCAGTGAAGATGAGACTAGAGACTTCCAAATCTGTCTTTAAAATAGTGTCTTATTACTGTTTATAGAGGAAGCAAGCCCACTTTTAAAAACAAGATGATTCAAAACTAAGTTTGAGGAACTGATTCCTTTCTGATATGGGTTTAGTACTTCCTTCTTGATTGGAGGTTTCAGTTTTTTGAAGCTCTTTGCTTTCAGTCTTTTAAGAGAAAATATACCATGTAAATCTGATATAATAGCTGCCACATACTTGGTAACATTGTGAATTCCAACAACAGATGTGAATAAATTATTTGTTTATGCATATGTTTACTGGGCCAGATGTCAGGCCTCTCAGAATCAGGGGTTCATGATCCAATAAAAGAGACAGGTGAAGGCTGGGGATGTGGCTCAAGTGGTAGCGCGCTCGTCTCGCATAAGTGAGGCACTGGGTTTGATACTCAGTACCATCTAAAAATAAATAAGTGAAATAAAGACATGCTGTCCATCTACAACTAAAAGATAATTTTTTTTTAAAGAGACAGGTGAATAGTCAAGTATAGTACAAGTTGATAAGTATAAATAACATTTACAGTATGTTGGGGGACATTACAGGGGATGTGGGGAGAGAGTAGAAGGAAAGGCATATGAATTGAATTTTGAGGAATAATTAGAAGTTAGGCAAAGAGAGTAGCAAGGGAGAAGACTGTGAAAAGGAAAAAAAATACCCATAAGCATGAAAAAGGACAAATTGAGGATATTTGCCTTTAAATCTGTTCTTTTCTTTCCACTGGTGCTATATAATACCCTTATTCTGAAGCTCATTATCTCATGAAAGGCTTGTATAAACTTCCCACATGGACTGACTGTAGTGGCACATGCCTGTAATCCCAGCAACTCAGGAGCCGGAGGCAGGAGGATTCCAAGTTCGAGGCCAGCCTGGGTAACTTAGAGAGACTCTGCCTCAAAATAAAAAATTTCAAACCAGGAAATGTAGCTCACTAGTAAAGTGCCTGTTATGGTTTAGTTTAGGTCATGTGTAAAATAATGCAAGAACATTTAGAGGTGAAACGATTGGTGTTGGGGTCTGATCTCCTGAAGTCATGGAGAGTGCACCCTGAAGAATCTGAACATGGAGTTTCTTTTTATTAGCTGAAGCCTCGTAGCAGGACAGCAATAACTCCTCACGATTGGCTAATTCTTGTGGGACGAGATGACCCTTCTGATTAAGGAGAAAAATAAGGCACTAACTGTTCTACCTGCTATGTACTTGAGGTCTGTTTCCTGGCATTTTATGCGAACATATCCTGTTTTATCACTGGGAAAAATGTTTCCTTAGCACTAAAAAAAGTTAGTTGTTTTCAATAATGTTATGCCATAGTTAAGATTTAACCTCACACTACCCTATAAAAGATGTGCTGTGCAAGAACAAAGCGGTCCACAGCTTTGCAGGCTCCCAGCTTCCCCTAGTAAACAAATTGTCGATTTTAGGACTCAGAGACTTCATGCATAATTGCAGGACCTAATACTCAGCAGTAGTTCATTTGCAGAGGATTAGGTTATGAGAGTCTTAACCTAATCAGTGCATTACTCCTCTGATAGGGATTAACTGAGTGGTGATTGTAGGCAGGTAGGGTGGGTCGTTGACGCGCAACTTTGGGGTATATATTTAGTGAGCTGAGCTTGGTCTCTGTTTCCTTTTGCCGTGTTTCCAGCAGCTTTCCTCAGCCACACACTCTGCCATGCTGTTCTACTCATCTCATGCCCAGAGCTATGGAGTTGGCCATTTATGCCCTGAGACTTCTGAAACCATGTGTCTCAAAATAAATTTTTCCGCCTTTAATTGTTCTTGTCAGGCTTTCCAGTCACAGAAGTGAAACAGCTGACTAAAATAGTGCTCCCGGGTGTAAGGTCAGGCACTGGTGACCAAAGGAGGCAGATTAAAAGCTGCTGAATGAGGCTTTATTGAGATTCTCTCCCAGGCGACACCCTCCAGGCCAATAGAGCAGTCCAGGGAATCACCCATGGGCCCAGCTGGACTGGAATTTTCATTGAGCTTAAGGCAGGAAGGGAGGAAAGGGCTTGAGACAGGAAGGGAGGAAAGAAAGAGCTTGGGACGGGAAAGGGAGATTTTTAGAGTCCGTTGTCCTACTGGGGTTGGTCGGGGGAGCTTGCTGAGATCCAGGATTGGTCAGGAGACCCTCCTGATTGACAGGTGGTTCTGTCAGCACCTGATTGGTGGTTCTGATGGGTGGGTTGCCTGGTGCTTTGTTCCTTAGCCACCTCAAAGTAACCCAGCACTGGGTTCGATCCCTAGGATCAAATCAAATAAAAATCTTCCTACATGGACTCCCAGCTTCGAGACTTGTTTCCTTCTAATCCACTGTACACATTGCCTCTAGATTAGTCATCTTTGAGGGTAGTTATAGTAGTACAACACTCTTGTCCAATGCTTTTCCTGTAGAAAAATATTTATCTGTTTATGGTTTACCTACAGTGAAGACACAAGGTTACAAGATTGCAGGACACAAGGTTAATATATAAAAGTTAATTGTTTTATTAAGCACCGGCAATGAACAATTTGAAATTGAAAACACATACCATTTACATTGCAAAAAGAAAAGGGATATACTTAGGTATACTTAGTTTTAAGTGTAACAAAATAAAAAGATTGATATGAGATAAAAATCTGATGAAAGACATCAAAAGAAATAAATAAACATGTAGACATCCCATATTCATGGATAGGAAGAGTCAATATTCTTATGATGGCTGGGGTTGGTGGTGCATGCCTGTAATTGCAGCAGCTTGGGAGGTTGAGGCAGGAAGATCATGAGTTCAAAGCCAGCCTCAGCAAAAACGAGGCGCTAAGCAACTGAGACTCTGTCTCTAAATAAAATACAAAATAGGGCTGGGATGTGGCTCAATGGTCGAGTGCCCCTGAGTTCAATCCCTGGTACTTACAAGGAAAAAAAAAATTCTCATGATGTCACTTCCTCTCAACTCAATCCATACATTAAGCATAATCCCAGTCAGTATCTCAGAAAGTTATCTTGTGGATAATACCAAAGTTATTCTGGAGTTTATCTGAAAAGGCAAAGATCCAGAATGTCAACACAATGCTGGAAAAGAAGCAAAAAGAAGATTAACAGCACCCAACTTCAAAATACTATACACCTAGAGTAATTAGTAATTAGTCAGCTGTCTGTTACTGTAAAAGCAAAGCAAAACAAGACCAAACCCTGAAATAATCAACTTAGAAAGAGGCCAGTTTTATTTAGGCCCACAGATGCAGAGGTTCTAGTTCATAGTCAGTTGGTTCTCTTGCTTTGACCCAGTGGCAAGGCAGTATATTATGGTGGAGTGTATGTGTTGGAGTGAACCACACCCCATGGTGGTTAGGAAGCAAAGAGAAAGAAAGAGGAGAACCTGGGCCCCAATATCTTCTTCAAGGGCATGCTCCTACTGACGTAACTTCCTTCCACTATTCTCACCTCCTAAGGTTTCTACCATCTTCCAACAGTGTCACAGGTGAGGGACCAGGTCTTCAACACATGGACCTTTGGGGGATATTCAAGATCCAGATTATAGCAGGCAGTATGGTATTAGTGAAAGAATAAACAAATAGGGCCATAGACTAGAACAGAGTGGCCAGAAATGGATCACACAGTGAACTGATCTTTGACAGTTCAACTAATGATAGTGGGACAACTAGACATCCACATGCAAAAATAAAAGAAAGAAAAAAAAATCTTATAGCTCTAGATCTTATACATCTTATGGGTCTACATTTAAAATCTTTCACAAAAATGAACACAAAATAGTCCATAAACCTAAATATATTACCTAGAAGATAACATATGAGAAAATCTACAGTTTGGTGATGATTTTTTTTTTTTAGATGTAAAAAATCTGTGAAAGAAACAATGGACAAGCTGGACTTCACTAAAATAAAAAAATTTTGCTCTGTAACAGACACTGTTAAAATAGTGGGAAGACAAGTCAGAAAAAGGTAGAGAATATTTTCATAAAATATATCTGATAAATGAATGTTACACAATGTGTATAAAGAATTATTAAACCCGAACAATAGGAAATTTAATAACAATTTTAAAAATGGGCAAACAATGGGCTGGGGATGTGGCTCAAGGGGTAGCGCGCTCGCCTGGCATGCGTGCGGCCCGGGTTCGATCCTCAGCACCACATACAAAAACGAAGATGTTGTATCCGCCGATAACTAAAAAATAAATATTAAAAAATTAAAAAAAAATGGGCAAACAAAAAGAACAAAATGAAAAGGACAGACTTTAGGGCATTTGGGTGACAATGTGAATCTGATTTCCTTTTAAGGAGGTTTATATAAGATGTGCTCTTCTGAACACAAAGGGTCAATCTTCTTTAAAACAGGAAAATTCCTGTATGATGGTGCATGCCTGTATTCCCAGCAACTTGGGAGGCTAAGGGAGAAGGAATGTAAGTTTAAGGTCAGCCTCAGCTATTTAGTAAGACTGTCTCAAAATAAAAAGTAGGAAGGTCTGGGAATGTGGCTCAGTGATAGAGTACCCCTGGATCCAATCTCCAGTACCTAAATAAATAAATTTGGAAAATTCCTAGGAGAATTAATGGCAGCTGAATTTATAGGAAGATTAAGTTTGGATAATCTTTCTTTGTGTATCTGCTGTCCAGATGTTTTCAGTTTAAACTAGTTTTTATTCCATCTGGAGGATGCTAATTTCTTCAATATATCATTAGAGAACTGAAAATTGAAACAACAATGAGATATTACCACACACTTATTAGTATGGCTAAAATTAAAAAAAAATGGACAACATCAAATGTTGATAAAGATGAAGAGAAGCAGGCATGTTCATTTACTGCGGGTACGAAACTAGTTTCAGGGTCATATTTTTGGGGTGTATATTCCGGTATCCTACAAGAGGGAATCCAGTTAGCTTGCTTGAATCTCATGACCTTTGCTTTGGTTCAGTAGAGGAAACTGGAAATCTTGATGGATAGTTCTAGCAATATTACACACAAAAGAGGAAGAATAGTTTCCTAAGGGAAATAAATATGCAGTCATCCAAAAGA